CTCTGCCTACAAATTATTGGTGGGGCTGAATTCAGAGCTTTGTTAGCCTCTCCAAGACTAACTAAAAATGTAGATTTCCAGATTTAATCAGAGAGCCTAGCTGCAGACTGTCAGGACCCTTCGTTGCAGACCTGCACTGTGATGTCTGAGCTTTCAAAGTAAAAGCAAAGTAAAATAAAAGTTTTTTTTATTTATTTCCTAGAAATATTTGTGTCTAATTATGGGTTTAATGATTTTCAACTTGATGAGGTAAAAAAAAAAAAACGCAAGAAAATATCAAAATTAACTCAGTTATTTCATAAAGACGTATTTTATGTGTGTTGCAATTATTATATTATATATTTGTTATTCTTTTAGTATTGTTTGCACTGTTCTTCCCTTTGCTGTTGGACCCAATAACTTCTGTTTTTTTTCCCAAGGCAATGGAGGAAACATTAGAGACAAGACAAACTTTCAAATGTCTGTTTATTTTACTTTCATGGCAGTGTTTTTATTGTGGAAACAGCAGATTTCACAGCATGATGCAGCCTTTAACTTTTAGTGACGTTCCAGCAGGAGTCATATTGGAACATATGTCTATAATAGACACATGATGTTGGAATAAGTAAAATATAAGAATAATGATAAAACACTTTTCTTGGTTTTTAAGTGGGGAAAAGTAGAGAAGCACACGCAAAAAAAGTCTTCTTCTTCTAATAAAACCCGGGAGCACATACATGCTACAGTACATGCTATTCCCGAAGGCTTCGATTAAAACGCCCTGAATAGATTTCCGGTCCGGACAGCGCAGGCAGGTCTGTAGCCAGACCTCTCTCGATTTAATCATGAAATGCGTCTATATTTGCTTCAACATATCCCCACCCATCATGATACTTCCACCCTTTTATTTTAGAGCAAATGGGTTCTGAATAATGCATAAAAGGTGAATGATGTTTGTTTCTCTGAATATTTCTGTCTTCCAGTATGATTTTGTGGAGCTGCTGGACGGTAGTCGCCTCATTTCCAAAGATAAACGGTCGATCAGCGACGCAGACTCCATGTTTGCACACCTAGCTGGGTTCCACGAGGAGGAGCCTGGAGGAGGCGCTCGGCACACGCGCTCCGTCAGCGTTCTAGAGGCGGGCTTCATTCACTACCTGGACACAGGAATCTGGCATCTGGCGTTTTACAACGATGGACGGAACACAGAGCAAGTCTCCTACAACACCATCATCATTGGTAGGATGTGTGTCTGTCACTGTTGGTCTGGCTTTGATTGGACAGGAGGAATGTGAGCAAATCGTTACGCTCTGAGTTTATTAAGAGTTTTCACAGTTATAGACGTCTGCACTGAATAATACATGTCTGAAGTGTATTTACCCTCAATTTGAGCAGGTAAATAAGAGGATTTTCCAATGGAA